TCGTGCCCGGGGGGGGGCCCGCTCGGCCCCCAGCCGTTGCTGCGCGGCTGACTCGGCTGTCCTTGCAGAGCTGGTCAACGCCGACAAGGCAGCGGGTCGTGTGCGCAAGTACAAGATTATCTTCAGCCCCCAGAAGGTGAGGCTGGGGGGGGCGGAGGGGTGCCGGGCGCAGCGGGGGTTTCTGGCCTCCAGCTTGCTCCATTTCAGTAAGCCTGGGCCGCCGCGAGCGAAAGCCGTGGGCCGTAAGTGGCCGTTAGCGCCGAGCTTCCTTCTTTAGCGAACCCAAATTCTTCCCAAAGCGTATGGCAAGCCAGAGAGACAGAGCAAGAAGGAAACGCTCAGAAAGTGCTGAGAAATGACCAGCGTGGAGGGTCTGCGATAGGAAGGCAGTAGGTCAGCCCAGGAGGGTGCAGGGCAGCTGTGTTGTGTTGTATGCTTGCTCTTTCTCCTGTAACCTTGGCACCTGAAATTGGGCCATGATCCAAGAAGTCACATGATCAGCGGGTCAGTGCATGGTGTACCACCAGACCCCGTGCCTCTGCGCACAATCCCTCTTTCCCTTCCGGGACAGACACATGGGGGATGGAGTTCAGTTTCTTGTCTGCAAAAATTCTGGTCCATCAAGCACTGTCGGGTGTGTGCCTATGGCCCCACCCCAGTCTGACAAGATAGTACTTCAAATTAGAGCATTGACACTTTGGAAGAAGCTTTAAAAGAGATGGAGAATAACATAAAGGCACTGTACTTTCACACTTGGAAAAAGTTCTCTGCCCCACCTCCAATTGTCATGGCAGAAAGAGACTTTTGAATCTAGGATAGTTTATCCTGCTGTCCCCCCTCCCCCCCCAAATCCTGTTTGTCAGTTCAGTTAGGATTCCTATGGCACTGGTGGAGGGGCTTCTTTATGATTGGCTGTGTGTGAGAGAGTTTCAGGAGGGCTGTTGCAATGCCCAGGAAAGGCATGGTCTCTCCCTCCCTGTGTCTCCTTAAATGCTACACCATCAACGCCCCAAGTTTAGGAAAAACACTAGTAGAGATTCCTGGAACAGTCTTCAGGCTAAGGCCTTGTGCGACAGTGGCCGGAAATGCGTGGGTTTGTTTAATAGCTCAGCAAATATATGTTGCGTTGCTATCCTAAAGTGCTGGGGTAGAGCTTGTTCCCCACAAGACATTTATTTCCCAATTTTACGTTGTGCCTGGTCCCTGCCAAAGACGTCATTATATTTACTTTTTTGCTGATTAAAAAGTCATTGGTGGCATGTATATGCATCATGTTTTTTCTATTTTTTGTTACATAACTGGGATTGGTATTTTAACTTTATAAAGTGTATTATTGCGCATGCTGAAAACTTATTACATTATTTCTTGGTGACTTTGGGGAACAAACTAAATATACACAAAACAGTGTATTTTCAGAGGAAAGCAGAATCTTTTAAAACTGAATGATTGGTGAAAGCTTATAATACATAACTAAAGCAGCAGCAGCAAACATAAATTGCTTTAAAAGCTCAATTGTAGCATAGAATAATAATAATTTTAAAGATCTGGGTAAATTAAAACATATTTGCCAGAAAGCAAAGACATAACTACTGTGTTTCAGAGGGGAGGACAGTCTGAGGCTATGTGGGGGAGGCACCATTGAGAAGGTCCACTCCAGGCACTCGGGGTGCAGATAGGAGTATATAAGAAGAGGGGTCCTTCAGATGCTGTGGTCTGAAGCCATGAAGGGCTTTGTAGATTCATGCCAGCACTGAGTTGGGAACCGAAGCAAACTGGGAGCCACTGAGCATCATGTCAAATGGGTGTAATGTGGTCGCCGTGTTCATTTTGGCCCAGGATTCTTCCAGCCATAAGGTGAGCCAGCTGAAGTGCTCTGACTGTCTCCAAGGGCAGCTCCACACACAGCCCTGAGCCTCAACTGGTAAAAGAGGGTTTGGGCCGCAGGGGGCTCTTGGGCCTCTGATGACAAAAGAAAGATTAAGAAGTGCCCTTAAGGTCCTCTGGGAGAGGAGAGGCGGAACACTGTTGGTCTGGGCAGCTAAAGCGTCTGCTAACGACATCCCTGCCTAGTCTGGACTGAGCTTCGGTTTACTGCCTTTATTCCGCGCACGAGTGCACCTGCAGGCCCTGGTCTAGAATTCCTGGCCTCGTGTGATGGAAGGGGAACGTAGGACTGTACGCCATTGCATGCTCATGGCACTTTCCTCCCATGGGCTCTTGTTCAGCAGCACATTTTGGCATGAATTGTACATCCTGGGATATGTTTCAGTTTCAGAGTATGGTGTTTTCAAGGTTACCTGAAGTTGGCCATTTTCTCCCATAGTTCTACCCGTGCGAACTGCTGTTGGAGGAGGAAGGGATCTATGGTGGTAAGTCTCCGGAACTGGCTCCAGCGCAGCACAGCTGGATGCCTCTTTCAGTTGAAAAGTAAGAACGGGAAGAAGGGGCTTGAAAGTAGGTGGGTGGTGGGGATTCTGCTGATCTCCCCTCCCCTAGACTCAAGCCTCCGGCCATTCACTCAGGTTGCAAAAGGCAACAGGAGGGTAGGGATCCAAACACTATCTCTGACCCTCCAGATGTGACCTGGGATGAGTGGTCCTTCTCACTTCTCCCTGTGGATGATGACATCATCAGCATGGAGCTGCCTGAGTTCTTCCGTGATTATTTTCTGGTTAGTATTATGTTCTGTAAGGCCTGTGTTCTCATTATGATACATGTCTTGCCCAGAGAGCTTGGTTGTCTGCTGCCTTTCCAGTCGTATGGCTGCTGCATCTTGCTCCTGCATTGGGGAGAGGTAACTCCTTGAGAGAGCCAGTTTGGTGCAGTGGTTAAGGCACCAGGCTATAAACTGGCAGACCCTGAGTTCTGGTCCTGCTTAGGCATGAAGCCAGCTGAGGGATCTTGGGCCAGTCTCTCTCTCTAAGCCCCAGGAAGCAGGCAATGGCAAACCACTTCCAAAAAACCTTGCCAAGAAAACTGCAGGGCCTAGCCCGGGCCGCCGCCAGGAGTCAATACTGACTTGAAGGCACCAAAAGAAAAAAAAAACAAACCCACCACCTCCTTAAGGATTTGAAGATGATCTTTAAAAAAACCCACAAAGCTTTTATATGTATTAAAAGTATTACATATTACATCACATTACACATTTATGTAAAAGATTAGAAGCACTACATGTTTATATAGAGATTTTTGTAATAAAACTAAGCCATTTCTAATGATAATCATGTGCTAATTAGTAACTTGACAGTACCATCTGTAGATATCAATAATAAGATGGCTGGGCTCCAATTGCAGGTCTTGATTAGTGCTTAACTATGCATTTGATAAGCTGTTAATTTGATTTCTGTTTTGAGTGCTAGTTGAGTGTGCAAATGCTGTTTGCGTTTCTGAAAGTTACATTTGCTTCAGCGACCAAGAGATTTCTGTGTTTCTGAGAGAGTCAGACATCTCTGCCTGATTCCAGATGGTCACATTCTATTGTTTCTGCAGGAGGGGGACCAGCGGTGGATCAGCACCGTGGCCCAGGCTTTGCAGCTGATGAACTCTCTCTTTGGCCCATTCACCAAGACATATGGAATTGGGCGGTGTGCCAAGGTGTGGCCTGGTCAGCCCAGGAGGGTGGACTAGCTTGGAGAGAATGTGCTCCAGAGAAAGAAATGTCCTGTGGAAGGCTCTGTGGAACCTGTTGTTGGCTGGGCCATGTTCAGGCTAAAAGGGGGGGGGGGGGTCCACCAAAACATTTCCCAGAATAAATGCAGCCCTCCTTATACGAAAGGTTTTTTTCCTTCTAAGCTACCAAAAGCCTTCCTGTAAGATTCTGGCACTTGGTTGACATGAGCCTGTCCCTGGGAGGGGATCTTGCAAGGGACTTCTACCTTTTATGTGGTATCCCTAGAGGTCCTGCTGAAGAAAAGATGGGTAAGAGGTGCTTTTCTCCTAGATGGTCCATGAGCTTTGGCGTGAAATAGCAGAAGAGAGTGAGGTTGACAGCATGGGCCGGAAGCCTGAGATCGGCCAGGTCTTTCTCATAGACAGAGGTGGGGCTTTGCTTGGCCTGTGGGAAAGGGAAGAGGGAAGGGGTGTCTTCTTGAGCCCCAAGGCCTGCCTTGATTCCAGGGGGAAGTCCTGCTTTCTTGGGGTGCGGCAGCTTTCCCCAAGTCTGGAGGGGATACTTTGGAACTCAATAAGAGAGACATGTTTCTCTGAAATGCTGCTTTGTCCGACAAACTAGTTCTTGTTCTTGGCCTGACATGTCCTGGAAACTGCCAGCAATTGCCAAGAGGAAGAGGGCTTCCATGTCACGGGTTTCAAAGCGAGCCAGCTTTTGTGCCTCATTTTAAGCAAACTATTAATAAGCTTGAAATTGGTGGATATAAGTGGCAAAATAGTCTGCTTAACCCTGGAAGCTCCCCGTGTCTCCATCGAGCGGCAGCTGCTCTCCAGCTGTTCTTCCATCCTGCCTGTGGATGCTGCTTTTGACCTCTTGGCTGGGGCTCTTCTCTGTTACAAGCGTTGTATCTCTCTCTCTCTAGATGTAGATTATGTCACAGCCCTTTGCTCTCAGGTGGTCTATGAAGGCCTGGTGGATGATACCTTCCGCATAAAATGTGGTGAGTTTCTCCCCAGTCCTGAGCCCCTGGCATTACCATCCAACCTGCCACTTTCTGAGGGCTGTATTGTAAGTGTTGAGAGGTTGCCAGCATCCAGAATAATTACTGGACAACTAGCAAGAGGCCCCCTATAAGCTAGGTGCCATGGGCAAATGACTTGAGGAACCCACTTTCTGCAGGAAGTGTGGATTTTGGTCCAGATGTTACCTCTTCTGACCGAAGCATTAAAGTCCTGCTGAATTCCCAAGACAAGGTAAGCTTTCCTCTGTTCTGAGACATAATGTATTTCAAGAGCTTTTGAGAACACAAGCTTGGTGGTGCTGGTGGTGCTTGGGAGAGTAGCAGGTGATCCTCTTGGTTATAGTGGTCTGGCTTCTGAAAGGCTGCCTGCATCTCTCTACAGGTATTCAGCAAAATCCGCAATGAACACTTTTCCAATGTCTTTGGTCTCCTGAGTCAGAAGGCACGGAACCTACAAGCCCAGTATGATGTAAGTGGGCTAGAATGGGACGATAACGGCAACAAGGGAACTGATTTCTGGCTTGTCCAGTCTGTAGGAAATGTCTCCTCTTCTAGCGACGACGTGGGATGGATATCAAGCAGATGAAGAACTTTGTCTCCCAGGAACTGAAAGGCTTGAAGCAAGAACATCGCCTGCTGAGCCTCCGTAAGTCCTCCCAGTCAGGGTGTTGTGCCACAGGCAGATGAATCTTAGCAACAAAACCTCCCTGGACCCTTTTTGCAAGTATGACCCCTGTCCTGTCACAGCCAGATGTGGCCAGCAAAGTCTTTGCAACCATTCTGCAGGACCCATCTGTAGCCTTGCCCCCAACAGGTGGGCTTCAAGTTGCCTTCAGTTGTTAAGACTCATTGCTGGAGGATTCACCAGTATGTTCCAGAAGGAAACAGAAGCCCCAAGTGAAAAAAATTATTTTTCCCTTCCTGGATTGACCAGCTTCCTTAAATGTGCAGATATTGGGGCCTGTGAGTCCATCATGAAGAAAAAAACCAGACAAGATTTCCAGGAATTGTTGAAGACAGAACATGGTAAAAAAGCATGTACAGAGCGAACTGATTGAATGTGATTGTGGAGTTGGAGATTGGTTGCCGAAAGTGATGAGGGCATCAAATGATGGAAATATGCTCCTGAGGATCAGTGGGAGGCTTAGACCGTGGCTCAGCCACAGGCAGGGAGCAAGAAGAGGATGTGTGTTGTCCCCTTGGTTCTTTAAGGTATTCATGGATAAATGTACGAGGAAGGTTTGTGGCAACATCAGAGGTGTGTTGGTTGTGGACATGAACGTTCATGTACTTTTGTATGCAGTCGGTACTGTGTTGCTGGCTGAAAAATGGGATGATTTGCAGTGATGGTTAAAAGCATGGAAATGAAAATTAATGTATCAGAGACCAAGGTAGTTGTGTATGAAAGAGGAAATAGAATGAATAATTGCAAGATACATAAAGGGTAAACACTAGAGCAAGGAAGTGAATCTGTACTTTGGAGGAATGTTTACAGATGAGGGGAAATCACTGAAGAAATTGTAAGGCATTTAAATATCTATTGAGGTGGTCTGGTCGTACAGAGGAAATGAATTAAAATCAAGCTGCAAAAGAAATATACAAAGGAAGAGGAAAGCAGAAAGGCAGGGTATGAAGTGGGATACGGATGGTTGTAAGGTGAGAAATGCATAGAGAGCTGCATTTAACAGTTTCGTATAGAGGATTTAGTTAAGACTTTTTTTAATGCCTTAATTTCCTTGGCTCACTGTCTGCTCTTCGCAAAATGTTGCTTACCCCAAAAGGTTGGTATCAATGTGTACGTTGAGAAGTCTCCATATGGAAGATAAATGGAGGGGGTATCCCTCCTGCCAGCCTTGGGCACCAGCCTGATTCTGGAAGGTTCTCAGCTTAAGGGTCGTCTTGGGCTGCTTCTGGGAAATGGTTTGCGGGCTTTGGCTGCTTCCTTTCTGGCAGCTGGAGGGACCTTCCTGAGGAGGGCGGGTGCTGGGAGTCAGAGGCCAGACGGGGGCCCTTGGCAAGTACAAAAGGCGAGAATGCTTGGACTCCTGGCCGCTGGTCCTGGAGGTGGGGCTGGGGCTGCCTTGCTCTCATCTCTCCCTGCTTGCCCTGGCAGCCCTTCTGGAAGGGTTTGACGTCCGGGAGAGCATCAGCTTCATCGAAGAGCACATCGACCGGCAGGTGAGAGGGTGGAGGAACATGTGATAAAGGGGAAAGGCTCAGGCCGGGACTTGGGGAAAGGCTGTCCGCTGCCACGCTTTTTCCTGCACTTCTTCCCGGCACAGGTCACCCCGATTGAGAGCCTAAGGATGCTTTGCCTGTTGTCGATCACAGAGAATGGTGGGTTCTTGCTCTGGGGGGAGGGACGCCTGGCAGCATGCAGGCCCTGTGCGTACCTTGACCTCTCTGCCTTCCTTCCACCTGCCTCCCAGGGCTTGCGTCCAAGGACTACCGCTCCTTGAAAACCCAGTACCTACAGGTAAGGTTGGAGGAGCAGCCCTTCCCTGGGAAGCGGAGAGGACCCGAGTCACTTTCCTGGTTGTGCAGGCTGCCCCTGCCCCCCCACGGGTTCCCCTTCGTTTTGGTGTGTTTCTGCACCTGCCCCTTCTCCTGCGGTGATGCTTGTCCCCTGCCTCCTGGCAGAGTTACGGACCGGAGCACCTGCTGACCTTCCACAACCTGAAGCATTTGGGGCTGTTGACAGAGCAAGTGTCCGGCGAAACTCTGACGGCTGTGGAGAACAAAGTCAGCAAGCTGGTGACTGATAGAGCTGCAGGTACGGGCATTGGGGCTCTGTTGTGCCTCAGCTTTTGCTGGGGAGGGACAAATAGATGGGCGTCTTTCGGTCCACAGGAGCTTTTTCCCCTCTCCTTCTCCCCAGAGAAGCTCTCAGATGCCTTCAGTTCACTGGCCAGGAAGAACAATTTCCGAGCCATAAGCAAGAAACTCGGTCTGGTGAGTTTGAGATTCAGTTAAGGGAAGGAGGAAGGGAAGAGGCATCCAGTCCTGACCACCCTGTTCCCTTGCAGATCCCACGCGGGGATGGAGAGTATGACCTGAAAGTGCCCCGGGACATGGCTTACGTATTCAGCGGCGCCTACATCCCCCTCAGTTGCAAGATAATGGAACAGGTGCCTCCAAAGAGCCCTTGTGCTGCTGGGAATGGGGGGCTCCTTTCCTCCCCCACCCAGCAGCTCTGGCTTGACGGCTTCCTCGTGTCTCCAGGTGCTGGAGCGCAAGAGCTGGCTAGGCCTGGAAGAGGTGACAAGGCTGCTCGGGGGCCATGAGTTTGTCACAGGCAAGTGGGCCAGCCGGGGCTGCTGCTCCTTCTCTTTAAGACGTTTGGGTGGGTGGCTCCCAGCTCCTGAACCCCATCAGCATCCCAGTCCCAGGATGAGCAGCAAGGAGCACGCAGCCTGTTCACTTTGGCGGTCGCAGTGGGGATTTTATGATCGGTAAAATATTTGCATCTGTCCCTCAAGAAAGATTCACGGAGGTGACTAAATCTCACTAAAATGTTTAAAAGGTAGAATTAGGAAAGTCAGGAGAGCTGCTAGGTTTGCCCCTGTGATCCTACTGATTTCCATTCTGCCTGGGAGGTGGTGATTTGAAGGCATTGTTATGACTCTGCTGCAACAGGATCTTAGCCGATCTGATCCAGAAAAAGCTAAGCAGGATCAGATCTGACTAGGACGGGGAAGGGAGACCACCAGAAATCCCAACTACCAGACTGAAGTACTGATCAGTCAGACAATCTGTCCCGTGGCACAGATCTGCTCTGCTGCTGCCCAAAACTGTGTAGAGACATGGCAGGGAACTCCCCGGGAGACTTTATTGCTGCATCCCTGTGCAGTGTTCTCTTTTTTTAATGTTCTGGTTTGGTGGTGTGAGCATGCCTCTTCGGAGACACTGGTTCGAGCATGTTCTCCTTGCAGCTGCAGAAGAGCCTCGAGCTTCAGCCTCCCAGCAAGTCGTCCTGGCTGTCTTTTTAGGGGGCTGCACCTTCTCTGAAATTGCTGCTCTCCGCTTCCTTGGCAGAGAAAGAGGTATGAGCTGTTCCTGAACTGGGGCAATCGCTGTTGGGCCTCCAGGGTGTGTCAGTCCGAGCCCCTGTGCATAAACTGGGGAGAGGGGCTTGCAGATCAATGAGGGCCCTGTTTCTAGCAATTCTGAAAATACGCTTGAAGCGAGGTTTTTTGCAACCGGTTTCTCCTCACTATCCAGTTATGCAAATAAGCCAATCGGCAGTAGCTTCCTGATAATTTTGGACTGAGATTGGAGACTCTTGGATTGGTCAAGGGGGTGTGGGTAGCCCTCCCTTCTTCAGTTTTTCTTACAGTCCTGTGGGATAGGTTGGGCTGACAGTGGACTTGAACCTGGGTCTTGGCATCACCCCTGTCACTGCCCCTTTGGCCCTTTCCAGTAGAGTTTGTGGCCTGTTCGAGTCCCTGGAGCAACCAGGGGAGGGGGAGGCAGGGAGGCCTTTTGCTCTCAGCAGGTTCATGCCATCTGTGTTTGCCTCCTCTGCCACACCAGGGCTCCGGTTCATAGTCCTGACCACAGCCATCACCAATAGTGCTCGCCTGCTGGAATCCACCATGGAGATAAGGATGTGACCACGTCCAAGGTGACGGGGTGCTGGAAAAGGCCTTGGCGCTCTGCCCAGGAAGGGAAAGGCTGGGTTCTCACCAGCTGGAGAATCACCATCTTTTACCATCTAGGGAGCAAGAAGAGCACGGGAGGCGTCCCCTTTGGCCTTCCGCTGGGATCTCTGCTTCAAGCTTTGCGTTAGTTGGAAGGTGCCTCTTCAGAAATGGGGCTCTCCTTGGAGAGGAAGTGTCCAGCGAAGCAGAGAAGGGCACAGCAGCGGAAGAAAACGAGAACTGCCTTGAGTCTAAGGAAGAAAGTGCAGAATGACAGGCACTCTTTCCCCCTCACCCAGGAGGAGGAAGAAAAAACTCTCCCTAAATGTAAAGAAACCCTCCCTAGGGCCCAGTTTCCCCATCTTTCCAGCCTCCAGCTACCCTGGAAACTTTTCTCCTGCAGTGCGTGGTTCTGCATATAATGTGCATATACATCCTTGCCAGAAGCCACATTCCAAAAGGGACAGAGCAAAATAACAGATCAAGATTAATTGAAAGAATTGCTACTGATTAAAACTAATTGCCTGTCATGCGAGGAATCCGGTTTGAGTTAATGATCGCTACGTGCACACGCTCCCCCATTCTCCCCCCTCCCTGACTTCCATACCCAGAAACACGCACGTTCCTTCTAGCAGAAGCCAAACCGAAGCCAAGGGGATGGGAAGCGGGGCGGGGGGGCAATTGGGAAGGACGGAGGGTTGAACAGCCAAGTCTCGAAGGCCATTCTAGTAATTCGCCTGCA